CCCTGCTCTGTGAGTGACAGGGGCAGCGCCCCAACCCCCTGATCCGCCCTGCTCTGTGCGTGACAGGAGGGTGACGCTGCACCCTCCCATAGACCCTGCCTTGAGTGTGACAGGGGGCGGTGCCCACCCCCCAATCGGCCCTACCCTGAGCGTGACCGAGGGTGGCATCGCAACCTCCCGATCCCGCCCTGCTCTGTGCATGACGGGGCGGCGCCCCAACTCCCCAATCGGCCCTGCTCTGAGCCCGACCAGGGGCTGCACCTAGGGATTGGGCCTGCCCTCCGCCACCCAGGAGCAGGCCTAAGCCAGCAGGTCGTTATCTCCTGAGGGGTCCCAGACTGCAAGAGGGCACAGGCCGGGCTGAGGGACCCCCCCTCCCCCCCCCAAGTGCACAAATTTTTGTGCACCGGGCCTCTAGTAGATATATAAAAGCCAAGTCCTGTGTGGCTTGGGTTCGGGACCTGGAGAAGGGCCGCTCACAAATGAAGAGACTAGACAAGAAATATGAATTTGGAAATTACAGGGGGGCAGGTGGAGAGTCTTTCTCAAGAGGAAAGGCTTCACTGGTGCCTAGGCCCTGCTAGCTTTTTATTCAATTTTAGATACACATCTTGCCCTTAGGCAATTCTGGTAGCAGACAGACTATCTTAAAGGTCAGTAAATATTAGTAAAGATTCACTTTGAGACTATTAGGTCAGGAAATTACTTGAGCTACCATTGTCTCAACAGAACAATTGGTGCATAGCTTTAGCCCTTGCCAAAGCTCAAGGTCCATCATCCTTCTGGGTTCCTTGTTTGCACTTTCCTGATGTGTAGACAATGGATAGCTTCCAGCATAGATAGTTGATGCCGAGGCTCTATTACACTGGAATATTTGTTGACGGAATGAAAAACAAAGAGAATTTTTTTTCAACATACAAAATAAATCTATTACCAGATTGTAGATACAAAGTAACCATTTACATGCAATAAACATGAATATTTCAAGAAAAATAATTTTAAATATAATATTACATGCAATAAACATTAATATTTCAAGAAAGAAATTAAAATATAATATTACCAAAACTGTAGTAACATAGTATAATATCACAAAAGTTGTAGGAAATATTAAACATCTGCAAATAACAGGATTGCTTCTATTCTAAAATATTTTTTTCTCCAGCTCCATTTTTGTTCATCAGTTTATGCTATTCATTATGTTTCACAAATGAGTGAAATCATGTGATATTTATCTTTCTCTGACTGGCTTATTTCACTTAGCATAATGCTCTCCAGGTCTGTCCATGCTGTTGCAAATGGTAAGAGTTCCTTCTTTTTTACAGCAGCGTAGTATTCCATTGTGTAGATGTACCACAGTTTTTAATCCACTCATCTGCTGATGGGCACTTAGGCTGTTTCCAAATCTTAGCTATTGTAAATTGTGCTGCTATGAACAGAGGGTTGTATATATCTTTTCTGATGAGTATTTCTGATTTCTTGGAATATATGCCTAGAAGTGTGATTACTGGGTCAAATGGGAGTTCCATTTTTAATTTTTTGAGGAAACTCCATACTGTTTTCCACAGTGGCTGCACCAGTCTGCATTCCCACCAGCAGTGCAAGAGGGTTCTTTTTTCTCCGCACCCTCACCAGCTCTTGTTATTTTTTGGTTTGTTGATGATAGCCATTCTGACAGCTGTGAGATGGTGCCTCATTGGCATTTTGATTTGCATCTCTCCCAAGATTAGTGACTTTGAGCATGTCTCTTGGCCTTCTGTATATCCTCTTTGGAAAAGTATCTATTTAGGTCCATTGCCTATTTTTTGATTGGATTGTTTATCTTCCTTTTGTTAAGTTGCATGAGTTCCCTGTAAATTTTGGAGATAACATTGGCAAATATGTTCTCCCATGCAGTGGGCTCTCTTGTTGTTTTGTTGATGGTTTCTTTTGCTGTGCAGAAGCATTTTATTTGGATGTAGTCCCATTTGCTTATTTTCTCTGTAGTTTCCATTGCCTTAGGAGCTCTATCAGTAAAGATATTGCTATGACATGTGTCTACTATTTTGCTGCCTATGGATTCTTCTAAGATTTTTATGGTTTCCCATCTTACATTTAAGTCCTTTATCCATTTTGAGTTTATTTTTGTGTATGGTGTAAGTTGATGACCTAGTTTCAATTTTTTGCATGTATCTGTCCAATTTGCCCAACACCATTTATTGAAGAGACTGTCTTGACTCCACTGTATGCCCTTGCCTCCTTTGTCAAATACTAATTGAGCATAATGGCTTGGGTCAATTTTTGTGTTCTCTGTTCTGTTCCATTGGTCTATCTGTCCTTGTGCCAGTACCAGGCAGTTTTGAGAACAGTGGCTTTGTAATATAGCTTGATATCTGGTATTATGATCCCTCCAACTTTGTTGTTCTTTCTCAGGATTGCTGCGGCTATTCAGGGTCTTTTTTTATCCCGTATGAATATTTGGATAGTTTGTTCTAGGTCTGTGAAATATGCCGTTGGTATTTTAATGGGGATTGCATTGAATCTATAATTGCTTTGGGTAGTATGGACATTTTGATGATGTTGATTCTACCAATCCATGTTCACAGTGTATTCTTCCATCTGTTTATGTCTTTCTCTCTCTTTTTTCAACATCCTGTAGTTTTCTGAATACAGGTCTTTTACCTCCTTAGTTAAGTTTATTCCTAGGTATCTTAATTTTTGTTTGCAATGGTAAATGGGATTGTTTTTTTAGTTTCTCTCTGTGAGTTCATTATTGGTGTATAAAAAAGCCATAGATTGCTGGGTATTGATTTTGTATCCTGCTTCATCGCCAAATTCATTTATTAAGTCTAGCAGTTTTTTTATGGAGTCTTTAGGGTTTTCTATGTGCAATATCATGTCATCTGCGAAGAGGGACAGTTTTACTTCTTCTTTTCCAATTTGGATGCCTTTTATTTCTTCTTCTTGCCTGATCACTATGGCTAGCACTTCCAGTACTATGTCAAACAAGAGTGGTGAGAGTGGGCATCCCTCTCTTGTTCCTATTCTTAGGGGAAATGGTTTTAGTTTTTGCCCATTGATTATGATGTTGGCTGTAGGTTTGTCATATTTGGCCTTTATCATGTTGAGGTATGATCCCTCTATTCCCACTTTGCTAAGAGTTTTTATCAAAAATGGG